AATTCCCCAGCCAGCCATTCCCCATGCTGGCTGGGGAATTCTGGGAGTTGAAGTCCACTCATCTTAAAGTGGCCAAGTATGGACAACACTGCCATAGAGGTTTTGAATTTGTATGCCTATTAGCCTTGACCAGCATAAACCACAGTGAAGAACTGTGAAAATGGTAGTCTAAAATATACAGCATCTGAAAGGGACAGACAATCCCAACTATGTCATATTAAGTTTCAAATCCAATGTTTCTTATACTAAATATCACATGTTTTTTTCATACAGGAATTAAATGATTTTTAATTAGATGAACTCAATTGCACCCCATCTATGTTTAACTTAGAAGCAGATTGTTCTGTGCTCACTGAAGTTTACTCCTAGGCTAGCAGGCAGTCTGGCCTTGTATATAAGTTTAGACAATATACTATCCAGCAAATATATATACATTCACACAGAAGCCTGACAAGGAGAAGTCATTTCTGTGTGACAGCCAACATGTTTTTTTTCCTCTTCATCAGCCCCATGTGCTTACTTACAACAACTTGTTTTCAGCTACAAAATTAATTTTAAATTAAAGATGGTTCACCCCCATATTAGTAATTCACAAAAATGACCACTGGCAGAAAGAAACTACATTTTATATAAAATAAAACATATTTTGTAAAATATTTTACTTTATACACAAACTCTTTATATAATTAAGATTCTGATTTGATATTTTATACAGAAAAAAGGTCAGCCACCATTTTACAGGTGAATGTAGCATGTTAAAGGAATCCTGCATAGCAAGCTCTCACCCTTTTCTCTGTCATCATTCCCTATGAAAATAGCTACTTAATGAACTTGATTTCAAGTTCATAGCCACCCATTTTCCTCCTGTCAGAACCACCTACAAACTGATGAAGGAACATCAAAGAGTCAAGGGTCAAAAGAATCTTTCCAAAAGTGCATTTCAAAAGACGGGATGATGAATAGCAGAGATGGGCTTGGTCTCATATCTCAATAAAGCTATTTTTGGAAAAGTGCCTCAGAACAGCAACCTTGAATTTCTAGTCTATCCCCTCCAGCCAATGAATCCCATGTTTTAAAAACATGTTGAACAGCTAACTATGCTAGAAGTAGCATTTATAAAGGGGTAACAGGTTTGTTCATCCATATTATATTTCCCGAGTTTAATTTTTAAAATGATAGATGGAAATGTAAATCATATTGATAGCCCATCCTAATAATTCCAAGTGAGCATACATTTCAGGGATTCTCTCTCCCAGGTACTGGAGTGCTGAATCCTGGCAGCAAGGTTCACAGGTTTTATAATTTAAGACAGCCACGAAGCGTATCATACACAAATCAAGGGGGGGGGGAGCCCTCTTTCTCTAAATAATTTATTTCTAAGACAAGATACTTGGATTCTATGCAGTAACTTGAACGGAACTGTGCAACTAAATGCCTGATTTAAAAACCCTAAAAAAAAAAAAAGGATTTTTCACACAGTGGATAATGAACTCTTGGTGAGTCAGAAAACAGAAAATTGTTATCTGCTGATAGTAAAAGCCTAATGAAAGATACAGGGTGCCATATGTGGGGAAGAACTTTTACGAGAAGACAACAAGCAGCTCCACTATTTCAACGCTGAAAGCAGGTAAACCTATTCAGGATGATGATGATAAATGTTTTTAAAACATAGTTGAGTTTGGTTTTTGTTTCTGTCCATACACTGTTTCTCCCTCTCCTCATCTATTCTCTCTCAACTTTGTCTGCAACTCCTTAATTTTAATTTATTGAAAACCAGCAGCTTTTGGGGACCATGCAAAAAATACTTGGGACAAGATGTGCAGCCTTTGAACCTCAGGTAGTGCACTTTCACATCTACTGCATAAGATGGACTCAAGGAAAGGCAATGTATGGTCATTGTACTACTGAATGACTGCTTATAATACCTCTCATAACCAATGTATGATTGCTTATTTTACTGAACCTCCCATGATGAAAACAGCTGCTCTAGAAAGGAATATAACTTGGCTACATGGCACAGCAGAAAGGCACATCTGTTTCCTTGATTTTTAGCCTCAGGTTTGAATCCATTCCAAAATAAGGTTGCACTGAAGAAAAAAAAAAAAAGGAAGAAAAAAGAAAATGATGCTATCATTGTCTGACTAATAGAACAGGAAAGGTGGGGTAAAACAGAGTCATGTCCTTTCAGTTGAACAGATCCCCTTTCAATCAGGTATTGGATTTTTTTAAAGCAAAGTAAGCTGAGAGAAACAATTCAACCTCCTTTTGTGAGACATCAAGATGAGAGAAAAGCTACAAAAATGACAGCTATAAGCAGAAGCTGCTGGATCTATTCAAAGGGAATTTAAAAAAAGCAATTCTATTCAGATATTCATGGATGATTGATCCAGGAGCAAGCTGAGTGCCTTATTTCAAACATGTTTTAAAATGCAAGTGAAAAACTGTCATAGCATGATATTTAGGGTAAGAGCTATAATTTGGAAGGCCTGCCCGTCAACTGTGAGAACTCAGTGGGTGGTTTAGGCAAGCTAAACTGTGCCTGCTTCAGCCTTCACCCCAATCTGGAACAAGGAGATAAACAATAAAGCATTGTATTAAGTAAATAAATAAATAAATAAATAAAGAATTGTATTGTATTGTATTGTATTGTATTGTATTGTATTGTATTGTATT